AATAAATTTAATGCATTCTTTAACAAACATTCATAACGTGATTATGGCATGCAAATGTTCATAATATATTCCAAAACAGATGTAAGATATATAAATATAAGTCTAATTTAATATATACGATATATATTGTATATATAGGGCATATGTATAAGGCATAATTGAATATATACGATACATACGATATAAATTAGGCATATAATACTGTTCCAAATAATCCTATATACAAAAATAATGCTGACTACTCTAACTTATTATGATAAGACTTTCCTGCATTGCCTTTTATAAGAATGTCCTATTATATTGAACGACAGCATATCTCTAAGTTCTTCTCTAATATTCTGGAACTGCAAATTAGGAACACTTAACAACAACTTGATTTTGCTCTGAGGCATTTAGAAAATATTATTTATGTGCTAACAAGGTGGAACATTACAGCAATTGCAAAAAGGATCAAGTTTTCTTAGTAGAAGTATAATCATAAGTAGCCAACTCTTTAACATTTTAAAGTCTGTAAACGCTTATTCAACCAGAATGACAATGGAACTCAAAGTCCACATTAATAATAGACTAAACATAATTTGCTCAGCTACCTTCAAATCAGCTAAAATTAGCTTTAAAACAAAATGAACTGATTGAACGTGTTAAGTGTGTGCCTTTCGTTCAAATCAAACGTCACTTGATATGTATTTAGCTGGCCATTCATTGAGTTCCATTGGAGAGCTCCAGGTCTCCAGCTCTCCAGCTCTCCAGCTCTCCAGATCTCAGCTCGGTGCGAGAGCGCACATTTAAATGGTTTGATTGACTTGATTATTTAATTGCCGCCGGCCACAAATAACCAACAGACTAACAAACCAAACAGGAAAGGAAATAAAAAATGAAAAACACATAGATTAAGCAGAGTGCAGGAGTAGGAGCAGCAGCAGGAGCAGGAGCAGGAAGGGAGCTCTTCCCTGGACATTGATTGAAAATCAATAATCGCGCGTGTGCTTTTCTCTGAAATGAAATTGAGGAACAAGTAAAAGCTAACTAATTGGCATTGAAAGTCGTCTGTCTCGCTGTCCCACTTGTCCCAGCTGTCTCTCCGGCTGTCTGTCAACTATGGCCAGCAACATTTTAATTGTTTTTTATCTATATACATATATATATACTTGGCTGGCATTAATCAGGCCAAAAAGTGGGCAATGGCCAAATAGCATTCTTCCTGTGGCAAACACTAAAGCAATCGCAATCGCATCGCAATCGCAATCAAAAGGCCATTGAGAAATGCCACGAAATTGAATTAGATTTGCATAGGAAAACAGGCCAAAAGAGACAACGACAACAACGATAACAACGACAACGACAACGGAGACAGCGACAGCGACAGCGACGTCGACGTTGCTGGCTGTTAATAAATATTAAAATTTGAATTATACTTGGCAAACCAATGAGAAATTTTTCTTAAAAAAACAAATAAGCTGACCTGCACTAGTAGTGGGCGTGATTAAGAGATACCCTGTATACTGAAATGTAATGAGTCATTTCTGAAATAATGCTTTTCGATTATATTTGTTAAAGGCCTAAAATCAGTCAGGAACGTAATGCAAGACTGGAAAATACCTTGACCTTCATTTCATGTCCTTTAAAACCAAAATTTTAATAAGTGGAACAAATATTTAGCAAGCAAGTTGGATCGACTCGCTTTGATCTTATATACTAGGAACTCATATAGAACGCATAAGCTCTTATACGTTGATCTCTGTTGATCGAGATTGTAGAACAGCTGGACTCAGCTCTAACTCTCAAGTCTAATAGCTCATCTTTAGTGCTCAGACTCTTAAAGAGTTCCAAACTCATTAAACAAACTTATATAGTCTAATTTATAGATCTATAACGACGCGTCTATTGACCGAGTTTTCAGTATAAATTGTCTCATATTCAACTCTTATACCAAGTAGCTAATCTTGAGCTCTACGATTCATTAACATCTATAGAGTCTAAGGCACAGATCTATATCGGCATATTTATGGCTGCAGATCCACAATGCATATCAGTTCGCTTTCTTCAATCAGAGCAACAATATGAAATCTAGATTTTGACATCCAAGAGACCCCATTATAATCAATATGCCCATCTTGAAACCATTTCAGGGTACTCACAAAAATAAAAAGGCTTTCTCAGGCGGCGCATTTTGTGGTCATGCAGGGGCGGCTTCACTGTAGGTGTGGTCGCACATTTTGGCAACGTTACAAAATGTCGGCCTCTGATTTCAAGAGTGCGCACACAAAAGCCAAAAGCCAAAAAGCAAATAATAAAAAAAAAAAAAAAAATAAAAATTATATATATAAAAATATATATATATTTAAATATATATAAGAAAAATGAAGAAAAAAAATCATAATGAAAATGCAAAAAGTGACGACGAATTGAAAGTTTTGCTCATTTTCTTTTGGTTTCTTTTTCTTTCTTCTTTTCTCCTTTTTTTTTTTTTTTTTTGTCGACACAATTACCAAAGCCATTTTCGTTGATTTGTAACACGTTGCAGGCTGACGATGGCGATGCTCTGAATGATAATCATGATCATAATCATGACGATGATGCTGATGATGGTTTGAAAAGTAGAACTTGAGTGGCCCCCAAGATGTGGCGCAATTGTCACACAAACACTTTGCATGCACAATCAGAGCCGCGAACGAAGAGGCAAGAAAAAAAAAAAAAAAGGAAAAAGAAAAAGAAAAAGAGAATGGCACGCTGCCCCGGCTCCTGCTCCTGCTGCTGATGCTGCTCCTTCAGCCATTTGAGTGGCAGCCCTTAGTATTCGAAATTCCCACAATTCGCCCCTCGCGCACACAACTTGAGCAACAGTAGTAATAAAAGTATATAGGGAAACTTGTCGCTCCAGCAGCTCAGGCAACAGTTGCAGCAGCATCTGCTCAACATTTCAATATGCAATATGCAGTTAAATATTTAAGCAAACGAATAGTTAAAATTCACAATTCGCAATTCGCGAAACGCACATTTACGAATTTCCAATGGCAGCGTTTGCAGCATAAATTAAACTCGGACGATTTTCTCATCTCGGCGGACAATGGCCAATGCAATGGACAACGGCCCTGGGCAAAGAGGGAATTCCACGAAATGGCATCGCCTATACGACTGGCTGACAGAAAGCTGAATGCTATGAAGATGGCAGCTGGTAGGCTACATAAACGATGCGCTGAAAACTATGCTATACTTTTTTCATTTTCTTTATTTGGCTCGGTTTATATGCGTGAAATATAAATGCAGTACATAAAAGTGCATCTTAGTATATGTAATAAGTATCAAATGCTACATTGTATGCACTTAATCTGGGCATTGTTGCATTGCCACAAAATGGCTAAGAATATGGCACAGCTAAACGTCGGAGAAGACAAAATAAGAGTAGAATAAAACGAATCTAATATACTTCATGCTAGCTGTTAGCTCTGTTTGGAGCATAACAGCTACAAATGTATTAGTGTTAGAATTCAGTATCAGAAAACTAAGCAATATATATATGTCCTCTTCGAAGTTAGGAAAAGGTTTTTGGGTTTTTTATTTGTTTTGCTTTGGCTAATTTCTTAAGAACAACAATATTAATTTTTAGCACTTCTTTAATTATAAATTTTAAAAAATTAAAATAAAATAAAATAAATTAAAAATTTAATTTAAAAAAGAAAATGCTGTTAACTATTTGTTTCAATTCAGTCTCAGTCAATAAAATATGGAATACAGATATACAGAATTCAGAATTCTATAATTTTTCTCAACGAATTTCGGCTCAATGTGAACTCACTGTAAAAAAAAAAAAATGTACAATATACATACATTTAAAGTATTTGCCTATTCCCGTTCTCAACAAAAACAATATGGAATAAAGCACGAGAAATTTGCTCTCAACAAATGTAATTTCACTGTAAGCTCTCTATAAACCAACATCTACACATATTTTACATAGCATAAACAAAATATCTAACAAATACGGAAAAGTCTTCATGCCCAATGGCAACAATGACAAAAAGTAGTTTCTTGTCCATTGTCCTAGCTCCTTAAGCAGATTCTTTTCAGTAAAATTCTGGGTTGTCGTGTCATGCGCGTGACCTCCACATTCACAGTCATATTCACAGTCACATTCGCAGTCACATTCACATTCACATTCGCAGTCATATTCACAGTCACATTCACATTTACTGCTATCCATTTGATATCATATAATAATAACGCTGTACATGTGTCCGTCCAATATGGCAAGGAATACTGCATTGGCTATGCTCTATCAGTGTGTGTGTGTGTGCTGGTGTGTGTGAGTGTGTGTGTGTAAGCCACGTGCAAGGTCGCCATCAGAGCGATTTCAATAAGATATTACACATTTAATTGCGCATTCGAGTGAAGTCAGCAATGTCACAAACAATATCAATATCAATATACATATACACTGCGCAAAAAAAGGCCGTATATTTGCTAGCAGTCCACTGAAAAACCTCTCTGGCTGGCTCTTTATTGATAGAGTCCTCATTTAATTTTAATTCAGCAGAAACTCAAGAAAGTTTTAACAGCTGTGAGCGCCATTTCGCATAATAAGCTAGTTTTCTCTCAGTGTAGTGGCATCTTTTAATATTCATAGTGGATATATTTTCTCATAAAAACTGAATTGACACGCTAAATTCTTCATTTCTAGGAAGCAGAAGTAGCCAGTGTTCAGTTTAAGTTTAGTATCGTGGAATTTTTCATATCACTCAGATATTTTATTTTCAACATTCTTTTATCTATTTTTCAAAATTCTCTGCACTGTTCTGAATCAATTTCAATTCAATTCAATTCAATTTTATATGTCGAAAGGCTATAATTCCTTTGCGTATTACCTTTACCTTAGGTTTACCTTCTTTATTCATTGGAAATTCTATTCTCCTTTTCACATTCCAATTCGATATCTTTTTTTTCTCTCTTATATTATCTTATGTCTTATTCGCCTCCTGAAACTGTTATGTTTTGTGACTCACCTGCAAATCGGTGCCGGTTGAGCCCGGCTGTGCCAGATCACAAGCTGATATCCAAGGATTAAGGCGTGTTAGAGCTGTTGCAGAGCCGAGTATGGACCTACGTAGATCTACAGGCGCTCCGTTTGCCGAGCTCTCACCCGCCGCTCCACTCGTTGTTTCTGTTGCGGTTGTTGGATTTGTGCCGCCGTCCCTTTGGCCTAATCCGATTAGACGCGACGCATAGGCGTCGTTAGCTCGGTGCTCCTGCTCCTCGCCTGTTTCTCGCTTGTTGTTGTTGCTGCTGCTGCTGTAGCTCTCCTTCTCTTTCTGCTTCTTGTTCTCGTTCTCGTTGTGTTGCGCATGCAGCACGCTCTCATCGACCAAACGACTTTCGTCCTGCTGCACCGTTTCCCGTTCTCGCTCCTGTTCCCTTTCCCTTTTCGTTTCCCGCTGCTGTTCCTGCTGCTGATCTTGCTCCCGCTCCTGCTCCTGTTCTTGCTCCTGTTGCTGCTGGCTTAGTGCTTGATTGTAATCCTCCTCTTCGGTGGCTGCGTCCTCGCTCAGCTTTATCAACCGGTCGAATGATTCCTCCGAGAACAGATCGTCCTCGGCGACCAGCGCAAAGATGTCCTCGTCCGCCTCCTCGTCAAACGCACGCGATGACGCGTATTGCACCGGCAGTCCACTACTATCCTCCTGCTCCTCCTCCTGTTCCCGCTCCTGCTCCTGTTCCTGTTCCTGTTCCTGCTCCTGCTCCTCGTCTCTCTCGCTAATGAGCGTTGCCTCACTGGACTCCGGCGCCCCCGCCGCCGTCGCCGTCGCCTCGGTGCCTCTGCCCCTTTCGAGACTTCGAGCGCGCCGCACCGTTTCGTCTGGCGGATGCAATGCGGGCCGCCGCTGATAATAATCAAATTGGAGCAACGGCAAGATGTGGGCGGGGGCGTCACCGGGGCTACCGTCGTGCAATCCTGGCAGCAGATATGAGAAGCCGCCACCAACAGCTTCTCCACTGCTGGTCGAATCGTAGCTGGACGGTAAGTGAGTTGCCGATTGTGTTGTTGCGTCTGTTCCTATTCCTGTTGTTGTTGTTCCTGGTGTTGTTGTTGTTATTGGTGTTGTTATCGAACGGCTGCTGCTGCTGCTGCTGCCGCTGCTGATGGTATTGGTGGTGCTGGCACGCCGAGCCCCCGAAATAAACGCAAGCGCCATCACGACCAGCCCGGGTCCTGGCCGCATATTGACCTCGGGTTCGGCGGTGCTAGCATGGTGCAGGCCCGCTTGAGACGCGCTTGCGACTCCAATTCAATGCGATAAATGATGGGCTCATGGCCCCATCATCATCATTAATATGTCGTGTGTCGTGTCGATTTTCGCCTGCTTCAGCTGTTTCAGCTGCCTCAGCGTCAGCTGCGAAGCTCTAACCGTATCCTGGCAACTGCTCGACGGCTCGTCTCTGCGCTCTGCGGCTAACGGCATGAATCAAAAATGCTTTCTCACTTCAAAGGGCAATGGCGTTGCCAGACTGTCAACCAAACCAAGAACTCGTTACGTTGCTTTATGCTGTTGATCGACACATGGCAGCAGAAAGAAGGGGGAAATGAATTTCAACGTAAACGGGGAACGAGGGAAATTTAATGGAACGTAAGCGTAAGCGAAAACGTAATGCAACGTAACGTAACGAAAGTCACGACTGTAGCTGATTTATTTCAAACTGATATCGATAACACAACACATTTTTTAACAATATACACTATATATATATTTTTTTCTTTTTTTTTTTTTTTAATTTATCTTAAGAGATTTTTGCTTTTGTTGTTGTTGGGGCCGTGGTTTTGGTTGTTGTTGTTGATGATGATGCTTCTGTTGTTGTTGTTGTTATTGCGACACTGCTGCACATTAACCTTGAAATTTAAATTGAATTTCGTGTGTCGTGTGTGTTTTTTCTTGTTTAGCTGCTGCTGTTGTTGTTGTTGCTGTAGAAGTTGTTGTTGCTGATGCTGCTGTTGTTGTTGTTGCATTCTTTTTGGACTTACAGCCACACGCGAAGGTCACATAGCAGCAATTTGTATTATGATTTTCGTATTCAATTTGATTTTATTTCTGTGTTGGGTTTTGGCTGGACTGTAAATGGTATTATCATTGATTAGTTGTAATTTGATTAATGAGTTTTCTACACTTCGTTTTATTTTTATACGATTTGGTAGGTAGGATAACAAAAGACTTTTAAGGTTGCCGCAGCGCTTTGCGCTTTTCGAAACGAAATTTTCGGTTTTCAACACGCTCTTGCTCTCTGAATAATCTCTTTCTGTTTTACGCTCGCACTCTCACACACACACTCTCTCTCGGTGATGCTGCCGAAAACGCCAACGCAACGTATGTATGGCTCGTAACCTGTCGTCGTCTTCATCGTCGTCGTGCGCCCACGCTCCTAGCTCAGCTGCGCGCTCTCTCCTCTTTTTTCTGTTCCGTTCTTGGATTCGTTTCTACTTTTTTTTTTTTCTTCTTTTTTATGTTTTGGCGAAGAGCGCTCTGCATTTGATTTGCATTTGAAATGCCGTTACATGCGTTATGCGCTTCGCCAAAGAAGCAAAAAGAAGGAGCTTATAAAACGCAATTTGATGACTGAGATTTATGGCAACAACTTTGCATTTTGTTTTTTTATTTTTTGTTTTTGTTTTTTTTTTACATTGTCTGCTGATTTGCATTTGCTCACGCGAAAAAGACACAAAAGCTAACCATGTGTGCGTGTGTGTGACACAGCAGCAAGCCAATAAGCGTAAGTGTGAGAGGGCGAGGGAGAGGGAGAGAGATGGAGAGCCAGAACGAGAGCAAGTACGAGCAGCGAACACGACGAGCACATGATGAACGCACGAAGTAAAACCGAAGCAGCCGCAGCAGCCACCGCACAAAGAAGAACGCCGAAAAAACGTCCCTAGCATACGCACATACACACACATACGTACTAAGAGACAGCAGCAGCAGCAGCAGTACACGCACAGGCCAAAGAAATTTATATAATTCGCAGCGACCGTCGCTGCTGCTGATGCTGCTTATTGTTGTTGTTGTTTTTGTTGTTATTGCTGCAAACACAAAACAGCGGCCGAGGCGCCCGTGGGTGGTAAGCAGCATCAGCAGCAGCAGTTCTCTATATGTATGTGTGCCTGTGTGTGAGTAGTTACTTAGGGCAGCCAGGCAAGCACTCGGCGTGCCTTTTGTAGCAGCATGAAGTAGTCGCCGTCTTCTTTGTCACTGTACGTGTTAGTGTTGGTGGTAAACGTAAGTACGTACGTACGTACGTGTATGTATATGTTCGCCTGTGACTCTGTGTGTGTGTGTGTCAAAGACGACAGCGACTGCGGCGCCTGCATGTGGATTTCGCTTGAATGTCTATGTATTGGTGTTAGCTGCTGCTGCTGCTGATTGTCCAACAATAAGCACTGCATACTAACGGGCAAAATGTTCCTTTTGTTTAGTGCACGAATAAATTGTTTTTGTACTTTTTTAATGCATGTATTCAATGCTTTTTGTAGTCACAAAAGACGCTGCGCTTTTCAAATAAGTTAAAAAAAATTGCTTTTTTTTCGTTTTACATATATATTTGGCATAATAATAATAATTAAAAGTGTGGGCAGCTCTGTCATAGAAAGTTATTTGAATGGGTGCTCTGGTCACACTGTGCGTGTGTATTTGTTAACTTTCACTTTTGTTTTATTTGCTGCTGCGTTGACACTGCGCACACATACACACATTCACACACACATGCATATGTATGTATAGGTATTTTCTCATTTTTTTTGTGCGTTTGTGCGTATGTATGTGTGTGTGCTACTTCGGGTTTCTGCTGATGCTGTATGGCGGCTGCTTATATAAGCCCGGAACATGGCACAAAAAACTATTCGCAACGAACTTTTCGCTGTACGTTTTTCCTGCAATTTGCCACAGCGTTTTTGTTTATGCAACGTGGTCACACTTTGTGGGCATAGGGCAGCGTGGTGGCTGGTCTATGGGGCGGAGGCTGAGGGGGCGTGCCCACAAAGGCAGGCAATGATTTTCACATATTATATAACATTGGCGATAAAAATTCGAAGGTTTCATTGAATTGTGGCGGCCAGCCGATTGATTGTGTTTGTTACGCTTACAACAGTCGTACTATCGATCGCGGTCTATCGAAAAGCAAACACACAAAGCGTTTACGTTACATCGACATCTAACATAACAAATGTCCAAATATACTCGTGCGCTCATAATTACAATGTGCGTGTGTGTGTGGGTATTAGTGTGTGTGTGTGTGTGTAAGTGTGTTTTAGTGAGTGGGTATTTCTTCTAAGAGCGCAACATCAACTGCCGTAACGGCCGCGTGGGCGGAGCTGAGGCAGCGGATGCGAGGGAAGCAGGGAAACGCAAAGGCTGCGTGCTTAGCTATATTTTTTTTTAGGGTTTAGACTTTAGGCGTTGTGAGAGTTATGCTAAGCAGATTTTATTAGTTGAACACCAATTCTTCATTTGTTTTATTTTTGAACAAAAGCGATAACAATAACGTTAGCGATAACGATATCTCGATTGATGTTTAGCTCATCTCGCGACTCGCAACTTTTGCACAATTTATTTGCGGTTAATTTGATTATATGTTATTATTTTTTGTAATTCTTTATATTATTTTGCATTTACAGTAGAACATTATTTTTTGGGCTTATTCTTTGTATTATTTTTTTTTTTTTTTTTTTTTTTTTTGGTTCTTTGCTGCTTGCTTTTGTGTGTGGACACACAGTTGCGCGACGACGCAGGATATACCGTTACAATCCTGCTTCTTGCTGATGGCCCCAAACGGCACTGACTGTGCCACAAATTGCAGATGGCGCTTAACTGGAATATGCCAATGGCCCGAGCTGCCCATAGGGGGCAAAATACGAGCAAAACTCCTGCGCTCAGCGCTGACAAAAAAGAACCGAAGGCGAGTGAGCTCACACAGCTAAACGTTCTCACGCTCACTTGCTCTTTGACGCTCGCTCTCTCTGGCATTCACTCTCTCAGCAGTTCGAATGAAAAGCTTCCAGCCCTGTTAAGTTAACAGCGACTGCTTAACAGCTGTTTGTGTAAGTGTGAGAGTCTGCGTTGCTCTGTTGAGCTGAAGCAAGAAAAATTACTTGCTGCAGGGCACTTAATCACTAATGACAGCGACGCCACAGTCAACGTTGACTGCGACGGCAACGGTGACGGCGACAGCGACTGCAGCAGCGGTGCCTGAACCTCAACTCTCACTCAAAATGCGTCTCACCCACTTGACTCGAATTGAATCAACTCGACACTCGACTCGGATTACGTCCTTTTCGCTATGACTTGGGCATTTGCTGGTGGTGATGCTGCTGCCACAGCCGCTGCTTGTTTCGTTACGGCGTTTTGTCTCACTTGGCCTAAATGTCTAATACCCTATAATATCGTTTAATCCCACTCAACGTGCTTTAGTTTTGCTCTGCTTACAGAAATACAAGGCGCATCGCATTGCAGTTGACAGTTCTAAATGAACCCACTAGCAAGAGTGAGCGACAGCCTGACAGAGAGAGAGAAAGAGAGAGAGAGACAGAGCGTGACTACCACACAGACACAGAGAGTGTGTATGTAGCTGAGGGAGAGAGCATGCTTTAATTGCAATTGCAAATTCTGTAGCATAACTTTGAGCGCAAGTTCGACCTGTCAAAGTTGCTAATCACAAACTAACAGCGTACTGCCCTAAAGAAAAATAAAATAAAACTGCAAGCGACAAGCCAAGGCCAAGTGACCTTCAGAGGTAAGAAGAAGACAAGACTGATGCCAGAAATATTCTGGCCTCTGAATTATTTACTTTTCTGTTAATTAACTTAAGTAACTGTGACCCACAAATCAAAAGTAAAAGAAAATACACAGAGGCAGGGAAGGAATATAGGTTACATGTTGTACACATACATATAATGATCAATTACGAGGGTAGGCTGAAAAGTTTCTAATAGAAATATAAAAAATAAAATTATTATTAAAAAAATAATATTGATAATTTAAGAAAAGAAATATTAAATATTTGAAAACATCAATTTAAATTAAATCAACAAAAAATCTAAACTAAAGAAGTACCATCTAATCAATTTGAATAAGATTCTTTAAAATTAAAAATTTGTTTTAATCTCAAAAGGTTATGTTTTCATGTTAAGCACTGATTAGAATTCGACGTTGGGATTTACACAGATTTTGCTTTGCTAGTGGATTTTCGGCTACCCTTCACTACAGCCCCCAACACTGACCCTTCCATCCCCCTCTTCTGACCACGCCCTCTGCTGATAAGCCTAAAGGAACAGTAAAAATAAAAGTAAAAGTAAACGAGGCGACAGACAAAAGAAACCTAAAAAAGAAACTTAAAACAGCGACAGGAGAAAAAAAAAAAAAAAAAAAAAACACACACACACAAAAGAAAAGGGACAGCCGAGAAGAGACGAAGTAGAAGAAGAAGAAAATGAAGCGAATCCCACATAATTTGGCTTGGAAAGCATTTTGCTTCAATTTATGCGCATTCCAATCAATAACTGTGACACATGCAACCAGGACCAGGCAAGGACATCAAGGAGAGTGAAAGTGCTAAGATATGCCCCATAGCACATACACACATACACATACACGCACACGCACGCACTCAGGATGCCCCCAAAGGATGCCAAAGGATGAGCAGCTTTTGCCCAGCTTCTAAGCAGACACAAATACACACAGATAGAAGAGCAGAGGCAGAGGCAGAGGCAGAGGCAGAGGCAGCGACGGTGGCAGAGCTAAGGAATGGATATGAATGTGTCAAACTTATGCGGGCACACACACACACACACACACAAATACACAGTCACACTCACTGTGTGTGCGTGCAGAAATTGATAAGAAACAAAATAACCCTGAAGAAGAAATTGTGCAAAGAGCGGCAAGCCAAGCAAATAAGAGAAAGAGAGATTGCGCGCGTGTGTGTGTGTGATTGTGTGGGTGAGAGAAAATGGAAAACAAAACCAAAAATGCCAGCACAAATAACAATACAAAAGCAACAAAGATAATTCCGAGAAATTCTATTAGCAGCGCGTGCTTATGTGTGTCTGCCTGTGTCTGTGTGTGTGCGTGGCTGTTCCTGTGTCTGTGTGTGTGCGTGCCTAAGCCGTGTATGCAGATCATAAGCTCTGCAGAGCTTGTGCAAAAGTCAGCAATTCTAGAGCCTGCAGTCGCTCGAAGCTAATCGATATCGATACATATGTCTGGAAATGATATCACTTGGTATTTAAATATACATCATGCGGTCAAATTGTGCGCTTTACTAGCAATTACTAGAGCCTGCAGCTGAATAGCAATTCGATATCGATGTTAAATACCATCACTTGGTATTTAAATTAAGATTGGGCAAATTTTGCGCCTGTTTATTAAAATTCAGTCAATTTGTGCACTTTATGGGCACTGATCGGCATTCGGTGCCAAAAGCGAAAGCAATTTAAATTCAAAGTTTGACAGCAGTTGGCAATCGGTTATCGCAATCGTAATCGAAATCAATGTCTACCTTGGCACACTTACACCGTGCACAGACATGGCAGATAAGCGTTACAAGGACGCCGCCGCCGCCGCCGCTGCCGCAGCAGCAACAGCAGAAGTAGCAGCCTCTGCTGCGAAGCTGGGCAGCCAAAGCAAGCGACAAGGATTTTGCGCAGTTTTGCTGACAGCCAAGTGGCAGACGGTCGGTCGGGCAGGCGAGCAGGCGGGCAAGCGATTTCTGCTCTTTTTGCACGCACACACAACAGCAACAATAAATAGCAAAAATAAAACATGATGAAGACGAAGAGGAGGAGAGGAGACAGGCAAAGGCAACGCAAGTTTTGTGAATGAAATTTCGCGCAGGCACAAAGCGCACAAACAACGTTTAGCTGCCACACACAGACACACGCACACACGCACACTCACACAGACAGACAGTTGCTCCCACTCTCACTCACTCGCACTCGCACTCGCACTGTATGGAAAGTCACGCGGCTAGCGTATGCACAGATGCGAAGCACATAGACAAAAGGGAATGGCCGAAGGGGCAACACGGCAAAGCAGCAGCCCAAAAGCAAAGCAAACAATGCCGCGCGCTCTATGTTTGGGTTCAAACCTACTAGAAAAAAAAAAAGAAAATAGAAACGAAAATGAAACGAAACGAAACGTAAGCAAAGCAGCGCTCTTAGCAGAGCTGAGCGCTGAGCGGAACGTATTGGATGGCAGAACAGAACAGTGGGACGGCTGATTGGCAGGGGGAACCCAAAAGGGAATCAACATCTGCCGCTGGGCAGGCAGACAGCCGCTCTCGCGGGCGTGGTAGTCGGTCGGTCGGGCGGTCGGTCGGCCGTTGCCTTGGCAGCGAAGCTCTTGGAATGCTGCTGCTACTGCTGCTACTGCTGCTGCTGCTGCTAGCGCGCTGCTGGAAAGCAGAAGCCGAAAAACTAAACTAATGCTCAACATTTATCGATGATGACGGTACGCGCAGGGGGTGCGAGCCAGCAGCAAGACGCAGCCAAAGGAGCTTGTGGAATTGACCCACAAATATGGCTATAGATAATTATGTTAACCTCTCTGGCGCTCTGTCTGGCAGCGCACAAAGATTGTCGCGCATCAGATAACGTGCAAGATGAAGAGCATGCTGATAAGATAGTCTGCTTGGGGTAAACTGATGCCATGAAACCAATTGAAACGACTTGGATCCTCAAGCCCAGTGTAAATTCAGCTAAAGTTCAAGTGCGAGTAAACAAGAAAATATAGCTGAGTTCATAAAGCTGAGTTAAGATCATGTCCAGAGCAGAAGGTAACGGATGAAGTCATTGCGGCTATAAACATGCACAGACATGCACAAACAAGCATGCATCTGCATGCATGTGTGGTTTGTGTGAGCTTGGGCTAGCGTTCAGCTGAAAAGTATGCAGTGACTTTTATGCTTAACGTAGCGCATTGTCGCTGGCCATACACACACGCACACATGTGTAAAATGTAAATTCTGTGCTGTGCATGTGTGTGTGTGTGTGTGTTGGTTGGGTGATAAAGCCATAGATATAGCTTGGCCTGCATGAGTGTGGATAATGGCGCGGCGAAAAGTCGAAACGCACACAGCACACACACACATGCACATATATGCACACCCACACACACACACATGCGCGCACATAATAAGGTGCGATTTGTCTCGCGCATAAAACGAAATTTCCTGCAAATACACACAACGAAACACGCTCACACACACACAGACACACATAGTTGGGCAACAATGGTCGCACAGCAGGTGGAGCGAGAGAGCGAGACAGAGAGAGAGAGAGGGAGAGAGAGAGAGAGGAAGAGGTATAGGGCGCCCAGTTTCGATTGCTTTGTTGCTTGTATATGACAGCGTGTCTTTGTGCGTGCGTGTGCGTGTGTGTGAGTGTGTGGGGAGGACATCTTTGTAGGTTAAGGCTCATGTCAAAGCTGGCAAACTGGTGCGACAAAAAGGGCGTAAGGCTTTAGGCGTGGCAAACTCGTTTGCCATAATTATTGCCTTTGTTGTTGCAGCCGTGTGTGTGTGAATGTGTATGTGTGTGTGTGTGTGGGTGTGTGCATGTGGCATTATTATTTTAACCGGAAATGTGCGTTCTGCCCTTTTCCCCTATCCGCCCACAAACAGCAAAAATTTGTGAACTGCATGAACTTTTTATACGCCATGGGATGTAGAACAAGTGGGGTACGATAAATGCGCAGATAAATAAACCAAAAATCGAGAAGGCGAAAAAATAAAAGATAATTTAAAAAACTAATATTTCTAAAAGTAAAAATTGCTTAACATATTTTATTAATATTACTGTAACATTTTTACAGGATATATGCTAGTCGAGCACTCTAATTTGTTTTTATATATGTATGTATATATTTTTTGCATTGGCGGAAACTCTTGCTCCGTGCCGGCGACAACATTTAGCAAATTTTTTATGACAATGTCGAGCAAGCTCTCTCTGCTCTCCACCGTCCCTCTCTCTCTTCCTCACGCACTCTCTCTTTCGCTCATTCTCTTTTGTGCTCTGCTTAACCTCAGCTGCCGACAGCGCCCACTTTTATGACAAATATTATGTTAAAGACCGAATATGCGCTACGCCATAAAAGTCAATCATTTTTCATTTCGCTTTGCGCGTCGTTGTCAGCTGCGCTGTCGCCGTCGCTGTCGCCGTCGCCGTCGCTGAGCTGTCCGTCAGAGTCACTCTCGCAGCGCCATTCACACAAAAATCAAACGTCCCGCTGCCCGCTCAGCTGCTGCCGCTGCTGCTGCTCCTGATTTTGCCTTTGGCTCTGCTTGATTTTGCCTTTCTTCTCTTTTCTTTCATTCTTCTCTGCTCTGTTCAGTTTTTTTTTTTTTTTAGCTTGTCCGCTGGGGACATTTAATTTTTGGCGGTCATTCGTTGTGATTTTCCTTGATATGCGATATAGTATTTTATGTACAGTGTGTGTGTGTGTGTGTGTGTGTGTGTGAGGCTTGGCTAAGCGCTTGTTGTTGATATTTGGCGCGGCTTGCTTCAATTTATGTGC